AACAAAGAAAGTAAGACCAGTCTAAACAAGGATTTTTCCTGGCCTATGCAAGCAGCACTGATTATTTATAACAGGGAAAAGCATCTGTCTTTGATTATGATTTCATGTATACTGTGGATGGTGGTGAGCTTACTGTGTGTGCCAGAGAAGACTGTCGTCCTGCAGTATGAAATTCCAGTGAGACAAACTAATCTCTCAGGGAGAGGCTTCTGCCTTTGACTAACTGAAGGACAGAGCGAAAGAGCTTTTTTGCCAGGAAAAATAAAACTACAGGCTATTGCAGAATGCAGGTAAATCAGATTTAATTTACAAACAAAAGAGAGTCAAAGCACATGCATTTTAAATAAGTACACTTGAAAGTGTAACCATTCAAAGGAGATTCAGCCAGAGTCTAAATTTTTCAACAAATAACCTAAGAATGCATATGATAGACAAGACTTACTTCCTTTCCACAAGCCCCTATACAAATAGCCTTTAGTCTTGTGTTATTTGAAAAACATACACATATTGGCCTTAGAGAATAAAAGCAGCTTTTGGGCCCAAGGAGGCATTAGGTAAGCACAGCACATGGACACTTGTAGGATACTTGTACACATCTAAATCTGCAGAGTTAACTGAGAAAGGCACTCTGCAATCTTTCAACTCATGACAAGATGCTTCAGTCTAACAATCTATTAAGCTGGCATGTAAGGCATTAAACCTACCGAATCCCTGTATTATATTCCCTTTCAATGCAAACTAGGAACAGCTGAACCTCTACAGCCAAGCCAATTCACAAGCAGCCAAGATAACCGCAAACAGAAGTACCTTGCAAACCACGGATTTTCTCAGAATGGGAAGTGCATGCTAGTGCAATGCCGTCCCTCTTGAAAAGGTAGAAAATTACATACTGCAGTGACAGCAGTAAGAACCATCAAGACCTGTGACATTCAGCCACCCGAACAAACGCTCTAAGCATTTGTTTCCTTCTCCAGGGCTGAGGGAGGTAGCTTCCAATTAGCCATTCTTGCCATTCGGGACACCTCATCCCCATCTCAAATCAAACAAGCAAAGGATGAAAGTCTTCAGGGCTTCCTTCTTATTGCCAGACCCATCACAAAGCAGCTTCATCTGCTCAACTCTGCACCATCAAGACCAGCTCTTAGGCCTTCTTTACAATCAAAACCTCTTTCCTGACTTAAAGGCAGGAAAAAACCAACTTAACTACACTACCAGTAGTGCCAAAAAAGACATCTGCTGATTTGATGGACAAGCTACAGTTCAGAGGAGTCTGAAATCTGTACAACTTGTCAAGAAGCAAGGAGCTGACAGCATTTTGTTGACACATTTCCTCAAAGTAATGTGCAGACTTACAGATTTGATTTTAAAATATTCTGCATTTGAATGCTGCCAAGTGATAACAACATGTCACAGGCACTGAAACTCCATCTTACCAGTTTCTCATCAGCTTGAACAAACTAGAAGCAAGGAGTCTAGATAAGTGGTTTTTTTTTTTTTTTTTTTTTAAATTGTGGTGGCAGGGTAATTACTGACGTTTATCCACTGGAGTAGAATGCTGTCCAAGAAAAGCTGTTTTACTGACTGAGTAGCTACATCTCACATTATAGTAGAACACATTATATCAAAACTCTAAAATCACATTAAACTATTTTTCTCATATTAGCTACTATTTTACAGCTCCTCATTTAACACACTCCATTAAGAAACCAGAACATAAATCCCAGGTAGAACAACAGAACTACGGCCACTAATCACCACTGGATTTCTTTACATAATAATTGGGAGCTTCAGGCCTGAGCCTGTACCCTTGATGTAACTGGGACTTTTGCCATTTCAGTGCCACTGGAGTGGGATCAGACTTGGAGTCAGTTAGGTATAATAATAATGATAATGAATGATAATTTCTAGCAGGCAGCCCAGGTTAGCAGGGAAGGCTGTCACATTTCTTCTTTATGTACCTGACACTATGCTGAGAAATTACTATCACTGCATGAGCTGACTGAGGGTAAGTGTTCCAGAAGAAAATGTCAAATTGAATTTAAACTAGTTTCTTATTCTCCCACTTCACCTCCCTCTTTAACAGCCTGCTTAACCCCTCTGAATTGATTTTTAGACCACAGCCTTTCCCAGGCCCATCACCCGTACCATTTTCCAAACTGCTGCCAACATTTCTGTCTTTTGATTCTGAAAATGGAGGAGGAAACTGCTTGGAGGATTCACAAGTGACAGGGCATAAATACTGATGCCAAGTTTTTTGTTTTTTGGGTTTTTTTAATTAACAGTGATTTATGTGAGGAGGTGACACGCCTAGAAATCCTAGTTTTTTCAAGAGTAGCTGTTCAGCATTTTAAGAATATTAGGCTCTTGAATTTACCCTTTCGGGACCCTTAAAGACTAAAGTCCCAAAATTAATAGCATTTGAGCATTTTAAAGAATATGTGGTTTAAGTGCATTGGTTTTGCTTTTCAGATTTTCAAAATCTTGACTTTATATTACATTCTTCATTGATTTTTGTGTGAGAGGAGAAACCAAATGAAGCATCTGTTTCCTTCTTCAACACAAAGTCCCAGCAGGAGGAATGTAGCATTCATTTTTTTGGAAGGCCTTAGCTGAAAGGTTTTTATCCTTTTGGGTATATAAAAAGATCCTTTCTCAGAGGACACAGATGAAATTTCAAAAGCAGCAGCACTGGCTTCTTGGACAACAACGAACATTCCCAGCTACCCCAGGAATTCAGAGTCTGCTACTCGCTTGCTGGGTGTGGCAAAGCCAAGGACAAACAGAGCTTCCAGATCTAAAGCCTGTGGCCGAACAGCTCAGAAGTAAAACGTTGGTCTCTAGAGAAAGCAAAAGGTTTAACAGCGCTGGTGTATCTTGCTCACAGCCGAAATACAGTCTGTATCCCCATTTAACAAAGATCAGATAGAGAAAGTTTTTTCAGCTTATATTTTTACCTTAATTCCTTTATTCATTTGTTCCTTTGTAATCTATGCTATTCAAAAACATTTAAAAGTCATTAATGTGACATGATAAAACATGACAAACATGACAAGCATTGACAAAAACTGGGAAGTTAAAAGTTAGCATTTGAGAGGATATCTTAAATGCCATAGCCTTTCAACATTAAAACCTAAGAATCAGTCCTGACCTAGGTCTCTAGGAAAAACATATTTGTGGTATCTTTGGACATACGCCCATGTTTTAGAGTCCTACGAATAGTATTAGTGTTGGGGGACTAAAAGTTCAGGGACCGGAAGCAACAAGAGCATTGTGGGTCAGGATGGCGATGAGAGCAAAGAAAATACGTTGAGGCTTGTAGAGGACAACCCAAGCTGCAGGCTCAGCTAGCTGCTGCCACCCAGCCAATGCTGAAAGAGGCTTCTCCAGCTGAGTCAACCTCCATCGCTCTGCCTTCTGCCTGCCCAGAACTGCAACTCTTTTAGCCATCTACCAAGTGATTTGTTACCAGTTGTGGATCTAAAAGGCACATGGGCCCCTGGGAAGCTGAAGTTCACTCCTCCCTCACCCTGCCTATTTAGGACTCAGGATACCAAGGGGAAAACGGGAACTCTAGTATCTGCTCCCCTTCCGCCTTGGGCTCCCAGCTGACATTGGCACCGATTACCAGCAACCACAAAGCAAGTTTAGTGACCTGGGATAAATCAGAGCAAAATTCAACCTCAGAGGCCAAACTAGGAGACAAAAGTGTTTTGAGTCACCACCAGTCTAACTTAGAACAGAAGCTGTGACCTGGAAGTACCCATATCCTCAAATAAAACCAGAGCGCCCTCACATTTGCTTTCTATGCTATCCTGTACCTGCAGGTTTCTCCATAAAACACCACGTTAACGGAGAGCCTGGCGCCCGTCCGCCCCTCATGACTCATGAAAATGTTTCCTAGCAAAAAGAGGTATTGTTGCCTTCGAATACATTAGACTCCTTTTTTCCTCTTCTTTTTCTTGCTCTTCCAAACAGAATGTCACTTAAAGATTCCCTCAGTGAAATATTATATTATTTTCTTAAATATAAAAGTTTGGAGATACTTCATAAGCAAGTGAGGAATGAATATGATTCAAAACTAATATTCATTCTTACTCATAAAAACTTAAATAAAAAATCCTATGTCATATATGACCCCATGTAATTATATGTTCACTTGAATATGGATGTCACTTACCAAACTAGATTACGTTTTCATAGTTGATCTAAAGTGATCTGTTTAATCATTCCAGCTGCAAGGAATACATTTGCTTTTTTGCTCAATTGAATATTTGGGAAAAACTATTTAAAAAAAAAACAAAACGTTGCTTGCCACACCGGCCGCACTGGAATGGGAGGTACAGTAATAAAATTTCCATTACGCTTAGAAGCATCGGCAATCAGTCAATAGCATAGCAATTGCTATAGTCAATAGCAGTCAATAGCGGAATTTCATTTTTAAGGGACATACCTTAGTTTTCATTTGCTTTAACGCAGACTTTGCACAAGAGAAGAAAGGACATGTGATTTCAGCAAAAACAAAACTGGCTTGGAGTTCTACAAAAATCAACATCTAGTCATTCAACCAACTTCAAAATAAACATTCCTGTATCTTTACAGATGACTAACTTCATTTAATAAAATGTCAGTCTGTCCTGGCTATAAGATAACAGTAAAAATTAGGTGTATTTTTGAAAAATTGGATGAGTTTTTATGAGTGACTTATAATACCCCTGCAAATCAAAGCTAGTTATGAAAACGGTGACATAGCTACAGCACCATTTCAGTTTTGTCAATACCATAATAAGCTTTAATTATGTAATTATTTCACACTTCAACTGATTTGCACATGTTGTTCATGATTCTAGCAGCCATAAAGAGAAGTAACATATGAGGAACGATGAGGCTGTGTACTCAAAGCTAGATAGTTTTAAGTAGGGGGAACAGCAGAAAATACTTAGGAATCTTGTCTGAATCAAAACATAATCTTCCTGCAAAGTCACGATAACTCTTACCGGGTTCAATCATGCAATTCCTGGATCTTCTCTTTAACAGGATGCTCCATTGCTGAGGCCCGAGTTCGGCTAGTTGTCCACACTAAGATTTACTGAACTGTTGGGATTAAAACTGGTGTTACTGAAAGCAAGAAGCACGGACAGCAGAACTCATTTTGAGGTTTAACAATGAATGGGAAACAAGAAGGAGATGCTTTCATTGCATCAGACATATTAAAGACTGAACATCTAGTGCATAAACAGACATTTCCTCTGGAAACGATGAGTTATTCTACTTACGTTTAAAAAATTGCAATTGTCTTTGCAAAACAAATCATTAGATTTGCATACAATCATACTGTGTAGCCACATGAAAATAAGTTATATTTTCTGCTTGCATTTCTGTTGCAGATTTAATTGATGTAACAGTGCAGAAAACTGAGACAAAATTTTATTTCTTCTGCCTTTTAATTACCATCTGCTAACACAAGATTACATTTCTTAAAGTGACTGGGTCTACCTGCCAGCTGAATTTTTCGCCTGATTTCCTCAAGCTCTGGCAGCTGCCTTCATTATTGGTGAAAATGGCACAGCAAAGCTAGCATGAAAAATGAGGCTAAGCACCTGTCACTTCATTTTTCTGCAAAGAAACAAAGAAAACACATGAAACTTGATGCTCTGCACTGTCTATACTCAGCAACAATTTGCTGCAAAAAGAATAAAGCATCAGTTTGCTCTTGAATACAATAACAAGCATGACATATAAAAGCATTTCTAGCAACCTACATGTTTGTTTGTGATAAATGGAAAAGATAAATCTTCCAAATCAACAATATAAAGAAATAAAGGAAAGAAAACATGCATCAGAATCACTCTCATAATCACTGAATTTCTTTTGTAAATAGAACCATCCCCTAAACATGGGCATTTTGGGGCTAAGGGTGGTACTAGTGAAATTCACCCAACAAGCAACAGCATCAAGCCTCCTACTGATTTCCTCTAGAGTAAAAGAAAAGCCTCCTATTAGATCAAGAATCAGCCAGGTACGAAGCACATGAAGCCTGCGAGTAATCTCACTGCGGTTGCAAGGAGCGTTTGGATGGCTTAGCACTTTCTAGAATTAAGGCCTGGATCCCTATGAAAGATAGCGATGATTTGGTAGCGTTTCAAGCAAATACGCGTCAGGAAGGGTAAATGTCTCATTGCAGTCAGATATTTGAGTATCCTTTGAAGCCTGTCAGCTTTCAAGAGAGAGCGCTTGCCTGAAGAGAACCCAGGAATGGAAACTATGGAGGAGGGAGAAGAAAAAGGCGTAAAAAGCACATTATAACAGTTTGTTTCTACCCAACGTTCTGCTTCATCACAAAACAAAAATGATTATGTCAGCTGCTGTTTTCTCGAAGCAAAATAACCTGTTTTAAGATGCTGGAAGCAGTGCTGATGTAGGCAGACTAAAACAGGGCTAGATGAGAGCCCAAATTCTTATTTAACTAGGATCACCCGAGTTCAGGGTGAGTGTTTAGGCCTATTTGCTAAGTGGTCTCCTCCATACCCTCATCTACGTATGGACCTAGAGCAACAGCTGTGATTGCCTGGACAAGAGTGGATCCCGAGACAAACACCTTTAAGCAAGGGCAAAACCAAGATGGAGGTAAGAGCAGATTCTGCTATGGCTGAGTTATCACCTGCTTTGTCCAGCACGTAGAATATCTAGAACCATCTGCCACCTAGAATAATTTTTACCTCTACTTCAAGAACACCATTTGCCAACTGTATATCTACAAAGACGGCTCTTAAAAATACAATACGCAATGAAAAGAACCCTTTCACTACTGAAGCAGAGGGAATTTTCTGAGTGAGAGTTTCCAGTATCAACAGACTACAGAGGTAACTACTTTGTGACAGGAGGACTTACTGATTTTGTTTGGAGATAGTTTTCTGTCAGGTTGGATGCACAGAGCAGTACTGCACAGTGACAGCTGAATCCTGCCAATGGAGAAAAAAGAAAAAAATATTAATAGGATGTTGAATCGCTAGTTCTGCATTCGCTAGTTCAACATGTTTTTCCCCTCTCTCATGCCTGTTATCTTCTCTTCTGCCAAATTTTGAGGGAGTGCTTATAAAAGATTTCGCTGAAGTGTGACAGCAGCTATGAATGATCTTAATCTTACAAATGGTCCAGCAACTGCCTAAGGGAAAGACCTTAAGTTGTCAGATGCAGAAGTCTGTATACACAAGGTCACAAATGGACTGCAATGCAAATCTAAGCAAGTACTTGCTAAGAGTTCTCAAAGTAATTTTTTCCATCAGAAAGACTCTCGTTTTTCCTATTTTTATCTTTATTCCAATATCTCTTTTTGCAGACTAGGTGAAACCGAAGCCGTATATTTTGGAGATGCTTGGGTTAGCTCCATGCAGTTACCATAATCATCCTCTAATCCAGAGGACCCATGGGAAGCCAAATCACCAACCTTGAACAGAAATTTGAAATACTATCTGAGAGGATTGCAAAATACTCATTCTATGAGATTTAGCTTTTCTACAAAACAGAAGTTGTCCAGTTTTCCTTTAGAAATGAACATGCACATGTCCAAAGATGCATTTTTCCCCCCGCTCTGCTTTGCCAAAAAGAAAGATTTTAGAAGGAAAAAACAGAGATCGGCAATTTTAGTCATGCTGGAATGAACAGAAGAGTTTATGGAATAAATATATACCTTGTTCCATCCATATTTATGGAAGGATAATTGAATTTTTTGCATGAGACACCCTGATGAAATGCACTTGAGTAGGAAGCATGAAGAGTTTTATTGTTTTAATTTTTTAAGACATTTCTAATTTTTATGAGACTAAGACTGAAATATTGCATCAATTATTAGCGCATTTCCAAAGAAATCATTAGCAGTATATTTTAGCACTTATAGCAGTGAAGAGTTCAAATTAGGGTCAGATGATAGTAATGCCATGCGGGCTGTTATTAACTTCACTTTTATTGCACTCTTATAATTAGCATGTTAAAAGACAAATTCCGATGTCCACATTGAAAGAAGAAATGATATCTCCTTTAGTAATTGCCACGCTGCAGTAATCTCATTCAGATTTGCAACATTACATATGACCATGCTATGTAAGGCCTTGATCTTTTCCCATTTCTTACACCAGTTAAGACAGGATTTGGTCAGCATTTTGGGTGAGAAATTGGCAAATGCAAGCCTTGCAGGAAATAGAATTGGTAATTCAGTAGGTGGCACTCTTCCCTTGGAGTTCGTACTGTACCAAAGCATGAGCGTGTTATTAGACACCAGAGATGTTATATGATGAAGCAGATACTAAAGTGAGACCTTTAATTGCATGAGGTCAAAGATCCCAGAGTATTTCTTCCACAGTATTAGCGCTAATCACAGCATCCTGTTCAAGTTTCCCCGTCAGTAGTCACAGCCCATCACATTTCTTCCCGGCATTTCAGTAGGATTAGAATTTGCACGATTTGTGCAGTCCAATGCTGCAAATAACAAAAGGGGTGAGTTTTCCAACCAGGAGACATCTGCAGTGCAGGCTGCTCAAACCAGGACAATGCCAGAACGCGCAACCACTTCCAAAGCTTCGAGGCTCACTAGAGTAAACTCTAATGAAAAGAAAGCTTTGTCAAAACTTTTCCTTATTAGTTAATAACTCCTTGAGTGGATTCAATTTTAATTATAACTTATCACTTACGCCATAACGTTCATTCTTTTTTGGTCATTTAGGTATCGAAAGGAAAACAAAAAATCAATGTATTTTTCAATTTAACACATTCTAAAAAGACAGCCCTGATCACTTTAAACTGTAATAAGTAAATAACTTTGCAGAACGAATTATGGAAAAGTTCAAACCTCTGTCACCACATATAAGACAGGACATGCAACTAGAAATGCATGTGGTTGCTTATGCTGATGTACCTGGTGGTCTTAACGCACTCAATGAGCTATATACTAGGAACCAAATTGCCACTTAAGATTTCTGTCAATCTTTAAGCCAATTTCAATATGGCAGTTTATAATAGGCTTATTCAGAAAAAGAACAATTTTTTGCATGCAAAGCAACAATGAATAGTCATTAAAACCTTCAGCCTGTAAAGAAAGTCAGGTTGAAAACATAGCATGTCTACTTCACTAAATTCAGAGGAAAAATAATCGAGTTCTGTCTGTGTCTGCCAACTCGAAGGTAGGCAAACATCTTCAGTTTCTTGCAGGTAAGGTTCAGCAAAGCACTGATACATATAAATAATATCTGGAAGCTCTACTACATTTGTGAGTTGGGGCAAAGGAAGTCCCAGACTACGCTGTACATTGAGGATCTGTGATAAACATACAGCCAATGCAACTATGTTGAAAACATCAGATGAGGTTATTACTGGAAAGTTAACAAGGAAGTTTTTGGGTCTGCTGGAATAATTTTCTGGATAAGAAACACAGCATCAGTTTTTAAACTTATTTTTCCACAGCGTCCTCCCAACAATGGAAAAAATAAAACTAAGTGTTAAGGCCTAGTGTTCTGTTTTATTTCATCTTTAAGTGTTTTGATTTAGCATTTTGCACATCTTTTTCATGTTTTTAAGAATCTGATGTCAAAAGAATCCAGCATGCCTATTTGCAAGACAAAAATAACCAGAGTTCTTCAGCGTACGAAGCAGATCCGTTTGGAAATGAACACAGTCATATAGTCTGAAGCCAGAAGGGATGATCCCTATCATTTAGCCTAACTATTATATAGCACAAGCCAAGTTATTGGCTTCCAGTTATTTCTGCATCAGGCCTATTGTTTCAGACTGAGCTATGGCAGCTCTTTCATAAGGATGCTTAGCCTTTATCAAGGGAAGCAAGAGAGAATTTACAGAGAGAAAATATGAAGCTGTTACTGTTTCATTAGTTATTTATCTCCTCAACTAAAAAGCTATGCCTTGAGAGCTCTGCTCTCAAACCTAATTCTGACACAAGCTTTATCCCCAAACCAGCAGCCCCTCTCAGCCCCAGCCCTAACCCCCCAGCCATGCACCACTGCTGGTGCCAGCCCTCGTCACAGCGCTGATCGACATCTCCCAACAACATAACATTTCTCTCCTTCAGCTCTGAAGCCCTTACAATGACGCTAGCTTTGTCACCAGCAATTTCCATGTGCCCCAGCAGTAAAATTGTCAAGTCCTCCACTTCTGCACTTGCCTATTTTATCTCCTTAGCTCTAACCCAGCCTTGACATGAGCAGAACCCCAGAATCATCAACGCGTTTAGCCTGATGGGTGCACTCACTGTAGCACAGCTAGGCCTGCCGGAGCCAACAAGAAGCCAAACAATCCTTTCACTTCCAAACCATAGGCATAAACCTAACGTGAGCCTTCAACACAGCCCAGTGCTCCCTATTCGCTCCAGAGCAAACTTCAAGCATTTTGGCCCTAAGAAGCAGCTCTCTCTGGGCATCTTGGGGGATTTCCATGATCCAGCAAAAAGCAAGCTATTCAGCCCGTTATTTACCAGACTTTACTGCTGCGCCTAATGCAATCATTTTTCCCAGTCTTTACAGCTCTGTATGGCTTACATGCCGCACAGCAAATCACAAACCTCTCGCATGTATTACCATTCCCTTAGTCCTGCTAGGCTTTCATTATCCACTAGTAAACCATTCCTTTTTACAAAGACCACTATACTCTAAGGTTGGCAGAGGCCCACTGCAAAACTATGAGGCTCCAAAATATATGAGAAATATGAGAAATTATGCTTTTCTCAGTCATCCCATACAGAATACATAAAATCTAGAAAAGAGATGGTATTAACAAGGGAGAATTGCCTATAGTCAATCCTTCAACAGGATCTGTGGTTTAAGACAAGAGTTTAAGATAATGGGAGCCAAAAGACCAAATTTTTTCAATAGTCATTTAGTACCAGTGGATAGTGAAGGACCAACCCATCAGTCTCCAGTAGTCAGCATAGCTCTTCTGTCCTCCTTTTCCAATCTTAATTTTAACCACTGTTCAGGTATTCCCTAACCCTTTTCTGACCATGTTCACATTTTGATAGACATACAGCTCAGATTCTGGGCCAGCAACGCAGGGGAACCAAAAGCCAAGTTTTTGCTCACCCCAAAGGAAGGCTCAAGCATTCTCCAGTTCTCTTTTTGGAAGACAACAAAGTCAAGACTTTGTTACCAGAGGTATATCAGAGCATTTTCTTATTTGAACATATCAGCACTTTTTCTAACCACGCCCTTAAGTTGCAAAACTTGACCTAAAGCACCTCACTGAGATACCAAGAAAAAGTCAACTAACTTTCTGAAATGCATCAGTTGCAGTCCCTTGGGTTCAATAGGAACTGTACAGAAACATTTGTGGAACATGCTGAAAATATCGCGTGATGATCAAAAAACTGAGGAGGTCTTTTAAGTAATTTGCTGTCCATATGCATCATCGTTATCTAATATCAACCCAGTCTTTCCCAGAGAAATCCATTTCAGGCTGTGTGCTAAGTTTGTATTTTATTAATTACACCATAGAGCAGAAAGTGCACATGTTCTACTATGCTGAACCATTTAATGTCATTTTAAGGCGATGAAATCTTTTAGATATGAAACCTTTCTAAGCACCGCAGACCTTTATGGCGGCTATGGGAAAATTACTTGGTAAAAAGGATAGAAGGAAGATCTAGGACTCCACAGGTAATCTGAAAGGTTAGCATTTCAAAAGTATTTTCTGCTTTCATAAAATAGGTAGCATTATGAAAAGCAGCAGAAAGTAGGACTTATTTATGCACTGCTACACTGATAATCTGCATTACAGCAAGTACTATATGTAAAAGAAAAGTCTGCCTCAAGCAGTACTCCTATAAAACTTTAAGTGGAAAACTGCATTTAGGAGACTGCTGGGAGGCTGGAGTAAACAATAATAATTTATGTCAGGACTTATATTGAGGATCACTGTGGCTTTTTAGCATAATGATGTTAAACAGTTTGACTTTTTATTAGTAAATAACATATTAGCAATATTTAATAATAAGTTATATTGCAGTCCTCTGTCAAATTCAACTCTAGGGAAAAAATACAATCGTTAACAATTTCCTGCCAGCTCATTTATATAAAAGATAATTTTGAAATAAAACAACTTTTGTGGTAGTTCAATTTTATGGCATACTACACTGCATGTTAAGGTGCGTTTGAAAAATGTGCAGAAATCTATAGACAGACAGTACACGTTTCATCAGAGTAGCATTACCTTTCAGTCTTTTCTGAAGCTGAGCGAAGGCCAGCAAAGTACTACCAACCAGCTGGCAGTTTCTGGAGCAGGGCTTCTTTCCTCTTCAACAAAGAGATCCCTTTACTCCTACTTAATTCATCCTCCTTTCTGTGTGTTCTTTCACTCTGATAACTTCATTTTTTTGGGATGTCTTTTTTTCCAGGTATTTCGAAACACAATACACATGATAATACATTATTTGACATGTGCTCATTATTTGACTCAGTCTCATGGAAGAGTCAGAAGAGGTCAGTGGCCTGAAGAGCCACTAACAGAGCACCGCCAGCATGCCTAATGTTGCTCAACAGTTTAACAGGATTACTGCAAGACTCCTCAAATTGTGGCTTCCAGCGTTATGCAGATCCATGAAAAATTATCTGGTCATTGTGATGGTTCTCCATATTTTCAGCTGATAGAGACAGAGAAAATAAAAAGGAGACTAAAAACAGCAAGCTAAACAAAAAAGCCAAAATATCCACTCCATTAATGTAGCTATACTGTAGCATCCCACCTCCCCCAAATCCACCTTAAGTTGATGCATACTGGAAATCCAAAAATGGTGGGCTCTAAAAATCACCATCAACTTTCAAACACAAAGCACCAATGACTGGCATTGTTTTCTAAGTATTGAACTGTTAGGATTGCTCAAGGATGGACTGATTGTACCTCTTGTCAGAAGCCTGGGTCTACTCCTACAAGTGCTGTTGATTGGAGAGGGAGGACTTTAGGTTTTGCTTCTAGAATGGCCACAGTTGTGCTTGAAAGAGACAGAGTAGAGATGCAATAAATTAATATAACTGTAACTGTAACAGTGTAATTAGGCAAGGTATAGTAGCCAGCACTGAATCCTCTTAATTCTTATAATCTATTACATATTGGCTGACTGAACATAAGAACACACTGACGCACGTCAGAAAGGCATCTGAGCACAGACGGTCAGAGAGGGCCAAAGATGCCCGTTTGCCTGAACGCTTGCTGTAGGAAACGCATCTTTTTGCTCAGCTGGAAGGTACAAATAATGATTGCCCAGTGACCAGTGGTTTTCACAGTTAACTCACACTAACTAACATTTCTGAAGGATTCGAGAAATTCAACAGAGAAAGACAACAGTAAGTGCCAGAGCAAAACCGATTTCCTATATAGAACATAAGAAATTAAATAAAAGTCTTAACACATTCAATACAGCCATTCTTTTGAACATATTTCTTCCCAAATTCAATCTATCATAGGTCTCCTCTTCATTACACTATCTTACTCATCCCACTTTCTCTTTTCCTAACTTCTTTCACTAGTTCCTTTACTAGATCCTTCTCCTCACAATAACCTTGAAATGGTAATTAGTTAGCCAAGAAGGTCATTTTATTTCTCAGTATTTCCCTGAACATTCAGTGGAAACTATACCCTCTTCCCAAACCCTAACCTCCTTGCTTTGAACCACTTCTCATCTCACCTGCTGTTCATTTTGACACTTTTTTTTTTTTTTTTAAATACTGGACATAGCTCTTTCTCTCTTCTCCTACGCTATCTTCACAGCAGCACTAATTATTTAGCCTGTCCTTCCTAAACCTTTCCAATAATGTCTTTGATGCTGCCCTCAAAGAGTATACTCTGTATTTGAAGCTCTTTTCTTCTACTTCCAATTCTTCACCATTCTGCGCTGCTTTAGGCTCAGTACTTTCAACTATATATTTTTGCCTGATCCCCTATGCTAGTTTCAGTGTGGTCTCTCAGTTCGGTACAATTAATGCAATACATTTGCACTCCTCAGCTCAAACATGGCCTGCATTCAAAGTTTTGTACCTGCAAGTAAGGCAGTTCAGGAATGTGGGTGAAAAGCGACCTATACTATATTGCCTTTTGCCATAGAGCAGATCAACAACAGAATAGTCTGATTCTGCAATTATTCTCTTCAACTAAGAATTCAATGTTACTTTTTTACTAGAGAACACAAGCCCCGTCCTTTACCAAAAAGGACCACATTTTAATGAAGGAAAAGCAAAGTGAAATCCCATGATTGGGGACTTGTCATTTTCTTTTCACAGTGCTGGATACTGCAGGTTGGGCAAAATGGGAAAAGTTCCATGTCCTGGATGAAAGACACATGAAACATCCAATCCTCTACTTATCCCACCACACTCCTGTATTTTTATTTTTTCCCTTCCCTGCCAGAAGGCTTACCATTATTTTCACACCATCACTATGACTCTTGCTTAGGCCAGGATTAATTTTCTCTCAAACGACCACTAGAGCTGCCTTTCCCAACTCTTTCTTCCTTCACGTAGCTTAGCCAAGATACCCTCCTAAAGCCCCTCAGTAGAAACACCCTCAGTCTGGCACCAGTCAGAGGCTATATCATTTTCACCTTTCCATCCTTATATTATTCCACCCATAAGAACAAGTTTAGAAGCACGCTCTGCAATCCTGAAAATACAAATTCTTGTAATACAAAATATTTAGCACAAAGTATCGTCACTATATAAACTGTAAGCTTAATTCTTCTACAGTTGACTTTTAATACAAGTTAACAGCCACACAAACCTTTTTCCACACACCCTTCAAGTCCCTGCTATCACAATACTCCTGTATTTTTACTACTACTTCTTTTAATTTGCCGCTGTTTTCTTGCACTGAAGTCCTGCCTCTACCTTGCCTTCTATCTACATGCAAGTCACTTTATGCAGTTCTGTAAAGCATTATCTCATTATTCTGTCTCTCACTGTTGAGCATTTTCAGACCCTCTGTGTGAAAGATGAGATATAAAAATAAATTGAATTGGAATACATGATGCTAAGTCCTGAACTTAAACAGACTGCACTCACAGTGCATATGTAATTTGACAGCTACAGGCTATACTTTCATGACATACTTCAAAAGGATTAATGTAAGGGAATTAAAGTTCTAACCATTCGCAGTAGTCAGACCTAGACATTAGACTCATGGCCATGTAATCCTAGATTGTTATTAACCAATCTGACAAAGAAAAACAGGTGATTACTAGTTACACTATACGGCAGATTCAACCTTCAAAGTTCAACGCTTCTGTAAACCTTCATGTTTTCTGTCCGCCAAGTCCAGGTAGCAGCTGTGTTAGCTGCCTTCACTAATATGACATGAGAAAGTATCTGTAAAGCCTATAGATTTCTGTCAGACAAAGACAACAACAGGATGTTTTGGAGCATTTCTAAAAAGGGAAACTGCACAGTATGTAGTTTTATGTGTCAACTTTGATAAAGCTGGACTGAATAACGGAGAAACTGTTAGCAGTTCAAATTTTCTTCTAAGGAGAAATGGGAAAGATGGAAATATTCAAGATGCAATTTGACATAAGGAATAGGGAAGACTCCAGCTGACTATTTGGGGCTCAACAGATCTACAGTATGTTCTCTCCTGCTTCTAATTTCCACTGGTAGTTCAACCAGCTTAAAATAGGGACATAGAAAAATAAGAAATTTCATGCATCCAATCCTGTAAACATGTATCATGAACATTGTCAAAATAGCAAGTATTACCTCCTATAGGAACGTTTAAAGATCTAAGATTTATAATTATTTTTGCTTCAAGGAAAAAAATAAAATACATCAATAGAAGTGGTTCCAGTTACTCTAACTTTCGTTAACTTTCATTGTGCAAAGACTGTGGTTTTAGAGCTGTGTTCCTCCATGTGGTCTTTAATCACGAAAATAAAGTAGTAGTAACCTGACATGAAGAATAAACAACTAACATTTTATACATTATTTATTCTTTAAATCACTAATAAAGATGTCATTAAGACTTGAATCCATCTGATTCAAATATAACATGAAATTGCTAATGCACCTTTCATTTTTTAATTAAATAGTAAAAGAAATGTTAGAACTAATCAAATTTTAGATTGTGAACAGATAGAATTTTCAGAGACCCTCTAAGACCTCTATAATTGTTCAGTTTCACAGAACACTTCTCTGTGCTGCCAGTAATAAGGTTTCACTTATATGCCTGCCTATTAGTCTGCTAGAAATTCATGCTCCGAGATCTACGTTAACTCTTGGCAGTAGTGAAAATTATTTTCAACTGTGGTATAGCTCAGAAACATAACCCTGCAAAAAATTCTTATTTTTAAACATCGTGCAGCAACAATATTAAGAAAATATTTGTGTGTTCCTGAATAGAGTTGTGGCAAACAGCCTTGTGTCTTTAATGATATGTTGTGCATGATCTGCTCCTTCATCATTCCATGTAGATCAAGAAGCATGATTGGGAGTTATTCCATTTGAGGATTTAGATTACAAATTACAGATATTTTTATGCAGAAAAAGCAAAACACCTGTTTCCTCTTTCTTCTTACTCAACACAGCATCAGAGAGTGATGTTTTGTTTTTTGTTCCCCACTCTAGACTCCAGTAACATAATATTGGTAAAGCTGTCTAATAACGTAGGAGGAATTTAGCAAAGTGCAACAGCAGTTTTGAAGTGGATTCAATCCTCTCATTGAACCTCCGCTAAAAATAATTTAACTTAGCTAAAGTTTGACATTTTACATCAAGCCTTCATTCAGAAGTTATTTAAACTCAGGCACATAGACTGGAAATCCTCACAGTATATAATGAGAGATCCGGAATAGAATAAATGTTTTGAAAAAGAAACAAAGAAAGGTTACGTGCAAGCTGGAAAGCACAAACATTTCTAGGAATATTTATTATAATTATCAGTCAGTGTTATATTTTAATGATCTGGCTTTAAATTGAGAAAAGCATAGAACACATGCTTATTATAAGGCAGCAGTTCCATTTATTCCACTAATATGTTGCAACCCGCTTCCATTTTATGAGCATGCACATAAAGGTATTCAGTTAACATGAATTACATATGCATGCCTGAATGTTCATGAGCCGTTCCTAATGGCTTTAGGTTACTGCAGATCTAATATCCCAAAAGTAAGTTATCCATAAGTATGCATGGAAGCAGCAAACTTAATCCTGTGCCACCTCTGTCTGTTTCTGCTTAATACTCCTGAGGAAAAGCAATTTGAAACTTCAGTTCTCGTGCTGTAAATGGGTGGTCTTTTAGTTTGCTCAAGGGCTGCTGTAAGCAACACAGGATCTTGTCTTCAGTGTCATAAGTGCCACCGAAAGATTTGTCCCGCGTGCTGGATTTACATAGCCATTTGACACTTTCCCATAGAGAGGTGAAAGAACTTTGAGACATTTAGATAAGACAGACAGATGGTCTAGGGAAGGAGCATGATATAAGAGAACTATGTTTGGACAAATTATATTTAAATATGCTTGGGATTGGTAAGTACTGAAACACAACTTGAACTAGTCAGCTTCTAGATCCAATATCATTATTATTTCACTTTCTAAAACTCATTCATTTTGTAGCCTGAGTACTGAAAAGAGAAAGTTTAAGAAATTCATCTCTAAAATGAGCATTCAAGAAAACGTATACAGATTCCTGGTCCTCTACAACAACTTGGCAGATAACCTTAGCCTTAATATTGCTCTGCCCCGCATCCCCCTCCCTCTCTGCCTGACCCATAGATATAAACCAGCTGCAGAGCTGCTCTATCCTCCAAGAAGCAGACTGACAAAAGATGCTAACAGAAAGCACAAACTATAGGAATATTATATCTTTAATAGTATTATTACTAACAAAAGGTAAATTGACCTAAAAGAGACATAGACATGATATCTGAATGTATATAGGCATGATACTATGTGACCTGGATCTACATCCAAGCCGTGGCCAGCCCATTGCCACAGCCTCTCAGGCTGGACA